GAGCGGGCCAGCCAAAGTTCTTTTCCGGATCTGACGAGGATAGCCTGTGTGAGCAGGCTAATCAAAGTTCACTTGCTGATCTGTTGAGAATGGTCACTGTGAGCGGGCCAGCCAAAAATTTTTTCCGGATCTGACGAGGATAGTCTGTGTGAGCAAGCTAATCAAAGTCCACTTGCTGATCTGTTGAGAATGGCCGCTGTGAGCGGGACAGCCAAAGTTCTTTTCCGGATCTGACGAGAATAGCCTGTGTGAGCAGGCTAATCAAAGCCCGCCTGCTGATCTGCTGAGAATAGCCTGTGTGAGCAGGCTAATCAAAGCCCGCCTGCTGATCTGCTGTGTGAGCGAACTAGCCAAAGAACGTTTGCTGATCTGTCCAGAACACCCTGTGGGAGTGGACCAATTAAGCAAGAGCCCACCGCTGCTAATGGGAACAACTGACCTCACAGATCAGTCCGAAGAAGCAAGAGTACGCCGCCGCTGAAGGGGGGGTAACTATTTCCGCTGTTCAAACCAGGCAAATTCTTCTGCCTTTTATAGCACAATTGGGTCTTTCACCTTGTTTTTTTATATATATATATTTATTTTTTTTATTTTTATTTTATCATATGTTTGTACGACTTAAACTCAATTAATTCCCGGGACTCAAGAGGCTGATCGTCTTCAAACTGCTGAATCAAGGGCATTCTAAGGAACTTTATTTCGGATCGATCGAGGTCAACACGGACGAGGGCGTCAACCTAAACTTCCAACCGAGTCGTTTGCAAATTGCCATTCAGGGTATAACTGGTGAATCCAATGCTGGCCGATTGAAAGCTTCTCAACCGAACATATTATTTGTGACTTTGGGCCAGTCTGGTTACAATCTGCTCGAGCGCAAAGGGGGCTATCCGGCGAGTGAGAGTGAGAGAGAGGGAGAGAGAGAGAGAGAGAGAGAGAGAAAGAGAGAGAGAGAGAGAGAGAAGAGAGAGCGAGAGAGGGAAGGTGCGCAGAGAGGTAGAGTGAGTAAAAGAGGGACAAAGGAAGAGAAGGGGAGAGAGTGTTCACGCATAGAGACTAAGAGAGTGAAAGGAAGAGAGAGATACACTTGAAAAACGACCTATCTGCAAACAGGCTTACTGTGAAGCTTTTCACTTGGCTAGACTAAATAGAAAAAGGGAATCAACCCCCCCCCTTACCTGCCACTTCATTGTTTGTTTGTGTACTCTTCATTTGAAAGTCGGACAAATTTAGTGCCTTGTTCAACACTCGGTTCTTTTATTTAATTGTACTATCATGTTCCTCTCTTTTAACAAACTGCCCTGAAGCACAAGAGTAAAGCACTCCTGATCAGATTTCACATGGATTCCAAGATATCTTGAAGGAAACAGCATTTGAACTAAACAATGTAATTTGATTAAAACAAGACGGGTGACAGACAACACACAAAAGGCTTTCCTGCTGGTCGCTGAGGACCTCGGAAGCGGGCACGGCGAGTGACAGGCGCTGTTGCCCTTGGCTTCAGCGACAAGTGGGCGCCCCTCCCCGGGTTTCCTCACACCGTAACCGGGCACAAAGCTAGCATAGACGACGAACTACGGAGGGGGCACTCAACATTCCTGGCATGCCGCCTGGAAAACAGGACAAACGTCGACGCCTTCGCCTGGGCAGTCTCTTCCTGACCACGGCGTCTACCGATCTCGTATGGCCTTCGCTATCTCCATCAGCGCGTGACACATCATCTTGCTCACTTCATCCGATGCCGCGTAGTGTTTCTTCTGCACCTCCAGCTCCGCTTCCATAGCTTCGCACTGCCGAATTTGGATGGAGCACTGCCTCTTGCTAGCGCTCTTCATGGTCGACGCCATCAGCGTCCCGTGCTTCTCCATACACTCGGTGAGGGCTTCGAGAGTCTGCTGCCTCATGTTCTTCCTTTCCCGGACACCGCCAGGGCTTCCCGTGGTCTGAGAACAACCCCTCGTCGAGCTATCATCTTCGTCTTTGCCATCGCCACCCGCATCCCCATCGCCGACAGATTCAGGAGCGCCAGAAGACCCGGGTGGAAGTTGCACACCTCCTGCTCGGCCGGTGTCTGCGACATTCTGCGGGTGTATTGTATGACTCCTTGAGGTCGATCCCCTGATCTCTTCATAGACGGCCCGATCCATGTTGAAATTGAACCCCCTCGCCAGCCTCTCCTTCGCGGGCAGTTGGAAGAAGTCCTCCTTCCCAGACTCGCCCTGGAAGCAATGCACCTTCTTGAACTGCTGCATCAAATTATCCCACTTCTTCCCGTATTTGTCTGCCGGCCTGTCCACGCCGACCTTCAACAACCTCTCGTGAACGTCCGCCCACTTCCATTCCCTCCCCTTCATCCGAGTGAACCCTGATGAGGGTGACCATGTGCTCCACCGACCAGAAGTTTCGGCCACCCTCCCCCTCCCCGTCGCCTTCGGCCTCGCCACCACCACCCACCGCCTTCTTTCCACGCCTGGCTGTCGACGAGGAAGCCCTGCTCTTACCGGCCCGACCACCCATGCTCGCCTTCTGCAACGGAAACACATCCCCCGACTCATCGTCCTATGCTTCGTACTCGCCTTCGTCGCCGTCGTTGTAGTCGTCGCCTCCCCGACTGCCCTGTCTGCCTCCACGTCCCGCTCCCCCACACGCAATCGCTGCACCCCCTCGGTTATCGACTCCTCTTGCCGTCGATGCATCTCCTGCTTTTGTTCCTTCCACACGCGCCTCCCATCTGCTTCGGCACCCCCGCATGCGAAGTCCTCATCTGTCGGCCCGCACTCAGACGCACATTGCCCCCCAACGCAACCTCCCGGCAATGGAGACGGGGACCGCATCCACTACGGACGGCCGACGCCAACGCGTGCCACTGATGTCGTCGACGATTGCACTCTCGGTCGCTCCCTCCTGTTATCCGATCCCTCCCATCCGACGGACGCACCCTTTGCAGATCGGTCGGCCAATGTCACCTGCCCTGCGTCGTCGTCAGGGTGATGTTTGACGAGGATTGTCCGTGTGGCGGCCGTATAGCTCCCTCTACCTAGCCCGAATGACAAATTCACGACGCCATCAATGTCGTCTCTGCGGAGGCCTTCCTCTAGGAGTTCGGTGTACGACTACAGCATATACGTGCTAGCACGCCAACCGTACGTCTGCCTGCCTGCCCACTCTTGGGTGGACACACTACCCAGCGGGACTGTATGTGACCCACCTTCGTCCGCCTCCCTATCTGACGAGTCGGGTAGAGGTTGCAAGTGCGGTGGGAGGTGCGCGTAGGCTGACGGGTCGTGCGGCCTTGTACCATGAGTACTGTAGTGGTTGGGGCGGTGGTTAGCGTATTGTTCCAACGACGTTCTGTGGTTCGCCCCCCGTCCGTCCATGCTGATGTGCTTCTTCGCCGATCGTCGCTTGCGTGTGCGACCAGGCACCCGACCCAGGATGCACACGTAGAAGACGACGACAAGGAGAAGCAAAATGATGACCAGGACAAGTAGCGGCAGCCTTCGGAAGACGTCGGCCATGAACTACACGTGCGGACGGGCAGGAAATAGATGACGACAACTCGCCTCTAGCAAACAACAAAGCAGACGACAGCAACCAGAAGGCGACAACATCCGACAAAAAAACGCTCTTTGCCGAGTTACATTGCAGACTGCGGTGGGTGTCTGGAACGCTTGCCGCCTGAATATTCGAAATTGACGATCGTTGGACCCTTTTCCATTTGCCGCCCTCCAGCGCGAGGGACTGCGAACCCTTTATCGGCGTTTGCAGGGGACGGTCGTTCCCAACGGTTACCATTGCCATGAATTCCATCGAAGGCGAACGTTGGCGACCGGACATGTCCGTGGACTGGCCGATAAGTACTGCATTGGACCACCCTCCAAAAAATCGTCGTCGTCGAAGGATGCCGCCGCCGTCCCGATGCTCGCTCTCCAAGGGACCTGGTGAGGTACTTTGGGGATCGCCGGCGATTGCCTATAGCCTGAGGACGCCTCGAGGACAGCCCGAGGAAATGTTTTCACATTTCATTTTCGGGAATCGTCCCCGAGGAATCGCGAGGATAGGTCTAACGATTATTTCCTCGGGGGATTTACGAGCCCGAGGAGTGTCTAATGGGCCCCTTGTTCTCGCCAATCAGGCTGAATGCCTATTCTTCGTCATTTTCAGAGGTAAAGGTTTCATTACTTGAGTAAGGTAGAAGCAAAGAGGAGACCGAGTGGGGCCCATACCCTGAGTGCAAGGCACTCCCCCTACAATCAAGGACCGGTTAGGGGAGGATATGGCTTCGCCATATCTTCTTCCAACCGGGGCATTCATCTTTCCACAACTCGTGACCACAGGACTCGATGAACCCACTTCACCGTCAAGCAGCGGCCGGCCCCGGAGTGCTAGGCCTGCGCTACATTCGATCTCGGACTAGCGCAAACTTAGCGCACCAAAGCACTACCAGACGCCTACCGGAACTCCCCTCAGGGTACATTTTTCAACTGCAGTGCCTTTCCTTTTTTTTGGTTTTTTTGTTTTCTTTGTTTTTTTAGACATCATTTTGCATCCTAAAACGTAGGAACTCTTACAGCTGTGTTTGACTGTCTGGCATCAAACTTGTTTCCTTCTTTGGGCAATGAATGCATTTGGCCATCCACGTYGTCCCTGTCCATTTTACAAATGGTGACCTCCTGTCCCCTCACCACGGGGAGTATCCCTTTTTCACGGAGACATTCACTCCGACTGTTCCAGACATGTTTCATTTCTCCGAGTTACATTATCAAAAATAAGGAGAAAAGTTGTTTCCAACTTTTTTTTTTTTTTTATTTTTTTTTTTTTTTTAAATTTATTAGTGTTGAAATGGAGTCACACCGTTAAGTTTTCTAAACTCAACAACGGCAGGTGGGACCAGACCCCAGTTTCTTGGAGGAAATTTGCACAACCCTAAATAAATAAATAAATAAATAAATAAATAATTAAATAAATAAATAAATAAATAAATAAATAAATAAATAAATAAATAAAACGGTGGTGCAGCCCAACCAATTCAAGCACCTGTCAAATCTGGACAGGATGGGCTTTCAGGATTTTTTTATTGTCATCGTAGCCAGGGTCACCAGCCCGTACGTACGGAAATCCCCGGGCCAACCTCCGTACGTACGGGCGTTCGGGGTCTCATTCGAGGTCCAAACCCGACGACATTCGGTCCCCGCCAAAAATTATGTTGGGGCCTAAAAATAAGTTTTGTTTTCTGATTTGTTTTTCGTGAGTTCTCTATGATGTGAGGTACAGGCCTATAAATTTTGAAGTCCGTTTTTCTAACCCCAAAAAACATTAAAAATCGCCAAAGATGGCGGTGTCAAAACGTGCTCGCCCACTCACTATTTTTTTTTTTTTTACTTTTTACTTTTTATTTTCACGTTATTGCAGGGCCTCAAAAAACATATTATTTTTTAAAACTTTTGGAGTGAGGTTTTTATTATGTGAAATACATGTCTGTAGATTTTCAGGGCATTTGGCTTTGCCAAAAACAAATTAAAAATCCCCAAAGATGGCGGTGTCGAAAACGTCCTCGCTCACTCACTAATTTGAATTCTCTTTTCATTTTTCCTTATTTTTTTTATTAGTTTTATTTTCTGTATTTTATTTTGATTTCAAATTTGGTAAGGAATTTGGAAGTAATGCTCAAGCAAATGTTGTTTATTGTGGCAGGGGATCGCTAACGCACGCAGCGCAACGCAGGCACTGCATGCATGCTAGAACCCGCCAGCGGAATGGCACGGATGCAAGGGGAGAAGCGCGTGTGTGGGCGCGAGATGGGTTGCTGTCCAGCAGAGGTATTACCATGCTGCTGGTTATGGCTGGCCTTGGTCGGCGGGAGCCGACAATCCTCGTAAGGTCGCGAAGGGAGAGAGTCGTATGTGTGGCTGACCGCGAGGCAGAGATTGCTATCTGCCAGTATATCATAAATAAAGCTTGATCAGGAACAGCCATTTCGTCAAAACGGACATATTATATTTTTTGAACAAAATCAAAATTGACTTTTTTTGCCAAAATCCGGTCGGGAGTTTTTGCTCCTGGGGGTCCGGCGTTTTGGACCCCCTACATGTATCTGGTCTATGGTTGAGACCAGATTTTTTTTTTATTTTTTTTTTTTAATATGGTTTCAACCATAGACCAGATACGTGTAGGGGGTCCGACGTTTTGGGAACGCCGAACCCGCAGGAGCAAAAAATTCCGATCGAATTTTGGCAAAAAAAGTTAGTTCTGATTTCTTTCAAAAAATAAAATATGTCTGTTTTGACGAAATGGTTGTTAGGGGCTTCAACCCCCTGGTCTCAGATACGTAGTTTTGTGGATAGCCGGCCTTGGAAGCTGTCCGTGATGGAGTCGAAGCTGTTGGAAGACGTACATGGACCGCTGCGAGTTTACATGGACTGTAGTCTGTAGTGACTCCGGTCTTAGTCCCGCTTGCTGTTGTGAAGGTGTGGGCGACTTCGGCGTGATAGGGTTTCACTCAACCTATTGTTGACAGTCTTATTCCTCGTCATGATAAAGAAATATTTCCTCTGGTTTTGTTACATTTCGTTTTTTGTTAGTGTAGTCTTACGTTTTGGGTGTTCTGGCGGCGGCAAGCGGCGGGGGATCGCTAACGCACACGACGCAACGCAGGCACTTCATGCATGCCAGAACCCACTGGCGGAATGGCACGGACGCAAGGGGAGAAGTGCGCGTGTGGGCGTGAGATGGGTTGCTGTCCAACAGGGGTATTACCATGCCCCTGGCTATGGCTGGCCTTGGCCGGCGGGAGCCGACAATCCTCGTGAGGTCGCGAAGGGAGAGAGTCGTATGTGTGGCTGACCGCGAGGCAGGGATTACTTGTCGCCAATATATCACAAAAGAAGCTTGATTAGGGGCTTCAAGCCCCTGGTCTCAGATATGTAGTTTTGTGGATAGCCGATATTGGAAGCTGTCCGTGATGGAGTTGAAGCTGTTGGAAGACGTACATGGACTGCTGCGAGTTTACATGGACTGTAGTGACTCTGGTCTTAGTCCCCCTTGCTGTTGTGAAGGTGTGGGCGACTTCGGCGTGATAGGGTTTCGCTCAACCTATTGTTGACAAATGCTGACAGTCTTATTCCTCGTCATGATAAAGGAATATTTCCTCCAGTTGTGTTGTATTTCGTTTTTTGTTAGTGTAGTCTTACGTTTTGGGTTTTCTGGTGGCGGCAAGCGGCGGGGGATCGCTATCGCACACAGCGCAACGCAGGCACTGCATGCATGCCAGAACCCGCCGATGGAATGGCACGGACGCAAGAGGAGAAGCGCGTGTGTGGGCGTGAGATGGGTTGTTGTCCAGCAGGGGTATTACCATGCCCCTGGCTATGGCTGGCCTTGGTCGGCGGGAGCCGGCAATCCTCATGAGGTCGTGAAGGGAGAGAGTCGTATGTGTGGATGACCTCGAGGCAGGGTTTGCTAGTTGCCAACATATCATAAACGAAGCTTGATCAGGGGCTTCAACCCCCTGGTCTTAGATATATAGTTTTGTGGATAGCTGGCATTGGAAGTTGTCCGTGATGGAGTCGAAGCTGTTGGAAGACGGACATGGACTGCTGCGAGTTTACATGGACTGTAGTGACTCTGGTCTTAGACTCTTAGTCCCCTTTGTTGTTGTGAAGTTGTGGGCGGCTTCGGCGTGATAGGGTCTCACTCAGCCTATTGTTGACGAATGTTGGCAGTCTTATTCCTCGTCATGATAGAGGAATATTTGCTCCGGTTGTGTTGTATTTCGTTTTTTGTTAGTGTAGTCTTACGTTTGGGTGTTCTGGCGGTTTGTGGAATTGCTATTTGCTGTTAGGATGTGTTAATTTTGCTCTTATATTTTTGCTGCATCTAGTTTCCTGAGCGTCAATTTTGCT